CCCGGGTTCGATCCTCAGCACCACATACAAACTAAGATGTTGTGTCCGCCAAATACTCAAAAATAAATATTAAAATTCTCTCCCTCTCTCTCCCACTCTCTCCCTCTCTCTCATTCTTTCTTTAAAAAAAAAAAGAGTTAATTGGGTCAATTTATTATCTTAACATTGCTTGGTGAGCAGTGATGAAACTAGGAAAAAATTGGTCCCAATGAAATGAAAATGTGCCTTCCTTCCCGTCTGTCCCAAGTGAAAAACAAAGAGATTCCCTCCTTGATCCAAGAACAGGGAAAATTAGTATGGCCACAAAAAGCCTATGTTCTTGATTGGGATTTGGGCATGAGAGTAAGAAGGTACACTCTAAGACAACTCATTGCCATGAACAACTTGGAGATTTCTCTAGATCCTGATGGAGTCCCCATGATTGAATCCTGATGGTTTTATAAGAAAAGGGAGGGAGACCAGAATATTCCCGCCCCCCCCCACACACACCCTGTCTTGCCACTCAGTATCATGTGCTGTCTTAGAATTCCACCAGCAAAAAAAAAAAAAAAAAAATCAGAATTTTGAGCTAAATAAACCCTATCCCTTTATAAAGTTATCCAGCCTCTGGTATTTTGTTACAGTAACAAAAGACTAATGCACAAGGCCATTACAAAACTAAACTTCTGCCTCCTTTTGGCTAAAACTCTGCGCTCAGTCTGGATGGTTGAGTGAGACAAACGCATAGCTCTAAAACCTGTTATTACTATCTGAAGTTTCCCCAGAAGCCTTCCTGTACACACCCTCTTTGTCCCCCCACCCCTTCAATTCTCATCACCTCCACCCTCCTCTGCTCTGAGCACTTTGCCTCATTTTGATGGAGGAGGAGGAGGGGGAGGAGGGCGTGGAGAAGAGAGAGGATGGTAGGAGCTGCCCTGAAACTTTCTGTTCTTGGAGTTTTCCAAAACCATAGTATCCTATCGGGTAGCTCCCCTTCCATGGGCTCCTTTGGCTTCATTTAACCACTGTTGTCAATTTTGAAACCATTCAATACGTAATGACTTTTACAATTCAAAGATTAATGACATCAGGATGACTCCCAAACGCCTGCTTTTGAAAACAGATGGCTAGAGGGGAAATTTTGATCCAGGGTACCTCTTCCTCCAAACAGAAAGTACTTGGGAAATGCCTCACTGGATCTCTGACCTTTTTATAGGTTCCCTCATATTTAATTCCTCTTCTGATGAATGCCTTCTTCCTTGGTCTGCAATTTTACCAAAGATTAACCTACTGACATCTTTGTTCTTCCTGCTTCTGGCATGGGTAAGATTCTGGCTCTAAGAGTGCTTTTGATATATACAACAGATTGTATCTTTTCTCAGAACCCACAGTCTCCCTGGGTGATACCACCTCCTCGAGACTAACTAGGCACAGGCCCCTTCTGGAAAGCATTTATGTCTCCTATTTATGGCACCTTCTTTCCACTTCAGCTGCACGGACTTGATAGATCCTGAACGAGAAAGCAAGCTCATTTCAGCTTTATGGACTTCACAATCGCTGTTGCTTCTGCCTTGATCACTCTGCTTAAGGGAGTTTGCATGAAAAAACCATCATTGAGTTCAAATCTTTCCTTCCCAAAGAGGCTATCTCTGAATACTCTAAAAGGCACACTTTGTCCCAGGATTTCTGAACTTCCAGACCTTTCCACAGCATTTATCACTATTTGACATTATCTCATTTGTTTATCATAGGTTCTGTCTCTCCATGTCCCAGGAGGAACAAGTCTGGTTTATTTTATCCAGCACTGTATCTCCTGGGCTGTACACATTCGGTGTGTGGCAATACGATCTATTCATTATCTGTGACAGAAGAATAAATCATCCAAAATTTAAAAGCATAAGACAACAAATAATTAGTACCTCGCACCTTTTGTAGGTCAGGAATTCAGAAGCAGCTTAGCTGGTGATTCTAGCTGAGGATCTCTCATGAGGTAGCAGTTACGATATCAGCAGCTGCTGCAGTCATTTGAAGGCTTGATTGGAGCCAGAAGATGGCCTTCCAAAAGGGCACACTTATAGGGCTACAGCAATCCTCTGGCTATTGGCAGGAAGGCTCAGTTCCTCATCACAGGAGCCTTTTCCAAAGGGATATTTGGGTATCCTCAGGACAGCACAGGGCTACCCTCAGAGTGAATAATTTAGAGAGAACAAGCCAATCTCTTCTACAACTTAACCTAGGAAGTCACATTATGACATTTCCACAACAGTCTATTGGTTAATGTATCAGCTCCATTCATTGTGGAGGGGGGATTATAAGTGGGCATAAATATGATCTTAATAATGGTTGGTCTATAAACATCTCTTGAACTAATGAACTGTGTCAATTTTATAATTCAACTCTTAGCAAGCCATCTCATATCCAAATGGGAAAAAAATCTCTCACCCTCCCAACCCTACCCCCACAAATCTTTTAATGTGTGTCCTGTTTCATTTTTCAAACAGAATGTGAAAAAGAACAATCCAGGAATGATAAATTGTGGCTATGTTTTGTACTTACTTTATTTACTCATAGAACACTTGAACCCAATATTTAAAAATTAGCAGCACTTCAGGAAACCCGGAGCATTGTGGTTGTTAAACCAATATCAGGTAACTCTCCTAGTTAAAATATGCAATTGCTTCCATCCGTACAATACTTCCTATTTTGCAAAGCGTCTTCCCATATGGTCTCATTTGAGCTCTGAAAATAAAGCAAGGTAGATTTTATTTCAACCTTATAGATGGGGACACCTGGCCCGATTCCAATTTTAATAAGAAGCAGACCAAAAGTACAATTTTGGTATTCTGATTCCTAGTATCAGAAAAGACTTAAAGAAGGAACTCTGCATAATAAGTTGGGTTATGCTGCAGAAAAGAAAACCCAAATATCTTCAAGGCTTAAAGCAACATAGATTTGTTTCTGATCATATTAGTTCAAGGCAGACTGGTTGACCTTCCAAGGCTATCTCCCTCGATGCAGCAATTTAGTGCCCTTCTGCTTCCTTATTATAGCTGTCCTATGGTTTCTGTGGTTGAACACAAGGAACAGAGTATTGCAATGAAAATCAAATGTTTTGACCTATAAATGACAAACATTCATTCCACTGTCTGCTCATAGAGCAAGAACTTGTCTCATGACCCTGCCTGATTGCAAGCAGACAGAGAACTGAAGTTTCCTGTTGCCCAGGCCATGCCTGAGTCCTAAGACACTTCTTTACATGTAAGACAGTGGAAAAATAAATAGGATTTGTAGAAGTAGGAAAAGGACCCTCAAAGACACTTGTGAAAACAGTGTAAAGAAATACACATAGAACATTTGATCTTTTTGAAAGCCTCAGACTGGGTTGTTTCACATACATTTTTCTTAGTTGATCCTGGTGACAGTCCTGTAAAGTAGACATAAGCACCCTTTTTATGATTTCGGAAACTGAAGCTCAGAAGGCTACTTAATTTGCTCTAGAGCTCACACTAAAAAGCAGAGGGAAGTCTGACACCCTTGCTCTTCCTTTTCTCTGTGTCCCAATTTCATATAATGATCTCTTCTATATCCCTTAAGGGATTTATTTTTATAAGGGAAGTTACTGGAGACAAATATACAGGGGCTGGCAATTCTACTGGAAATGTTTCACTTCTCAAACTGGGTGATGAACACACAATTTGTGTAACTCATTGTATTTTTTATAACAAATATTTCAAAATACATTCTTTTAAAAAGGGGGGCAATTGAGTCTGAGAAATAATCACAGATTGTTGTCTTGAAAAGATATGAATTTCTAATGAATATTGGCAGTCAAAAACCAGGAAATACAATATTGCTAATAGTTATYGAGCACATAGGATTTCCTAGATAATTTGAAATCATTTTTTGACATATATTTACTTATTCCATACAACAACCTTAATATTATCCTAGGATAACCTATTAAATCCTGAGTTTTCAATTCCACAGAGATTTCAATGAAATTGACACAGGGACATTGAAGTAGGCTGGAGATCATAATCTAGCTCTTATAAATATTATATTAATATTATCATAATTGTATTCTTATTTTATAGGTATATTACATATTGAGAATTATGTTGTACATATATATTATATTATATAAGCTTTTATATGCATTCCATATTTGGGACAAAATGGGTTAATATGAGATGAGAAAATTGAAGCAAATGCAAATTGTTACTTAATCTAAAATCAATTTATAAAGGGAAAAAGAAACTGAATTTGAGCAAGCATTCTAGTTTCAGGGTATGGACACATGACCACTACCCTGTAATACCTCCCCAAAGAGGTGGAAGAAGGATGAGCCAAATTTACAGTGATGGTTGAAAATCTTTTGCGTACCTCTTGCAACGTTCCAGTCACATTCCATAGACGTTTGCGTCCAGTTAAACAGGGAGTTCAAAATAGCTTTCCCATGACTTGACAGAGAACAGGCTAGTGTAGTTGGCAGCAATTTCAAAGAAAAGTTCCATGCTTGGGTTGACTCCCTTAGACTACATCAAGGGGAAAGGCCATGTGATTAATAGAGTGCTCTATCTCTCCGGAATACTACCTGGGCAAGGAAGGTGGAGTTGGGGAGGGATCAAATAATTTCCGAAGGCCAAGTGAACTAACCCAGTTGGGAGTTGGAAATATATGAAAATATAGTTTGGGATATATTGCTTTCAGTGCTGCTCAACAAATCAGTTACTCCGGGACTGATCTTCTCATCGCCTTGATTCTTATTGTAATTTACACCACTACCACCACCACAACCACCGCGCGCACACACACACACCAGTTCCGAAATATGGTGTAAGGAATTTCCAGAAGGGACAACCAAGCAGGAGGAAAGCGAAACCTGAGTGCTGCGGATTGACAGCTGGAGTTGCCCCGCGCCTGCGCAGCAGCTCGCGACGTGGAGGAGTGGCGCCAGGGGGCGCGATCGCGATACTCCGACGCTCTGTCTACCCGCGCGCTCCACGACTCTCCTAGGGTTAGCCGGCGGAGAAGGCGGAAGAAAGCGGCGTCAGAGACTGGGGCTGGGGCTCCCGGCGGCCCGCGGACGCGGCGGCCTTCGGCCCTGGAGATTGGCCTGCGGGCCGTCTCGCCTCGGAGCGCTGCATCTGTCCTCTCTCAGCACCTCSGCAGAGCGGAGTTGGGCGGCGGGGCTGGAGCCCAGCCCGCCCTGTTCGACGGCCCAGAGCGCTCGAGCGGTGAGTCTGTTTCCGATGTCCGCTCCTGACGGTCGGGGCCTCACTTTCCGCAGATCGGGGAGACGCCCCCGGCCCTTGCTCCACACGGCTCSGGGACGCATCTCTCAAACCCCCCACACCCCTAGTTCCTCACGGATCGGGACGCCTAACCCCAGTCCCCTGTCCCCTGGCTCCTCACGGGCAGGGGGCCCTCTCCCCCAGCTCCCCATCCCCTTGGAGGACTCTTCCCCCATCTCCCGTCCCCTTGCTCCCCACCGGTCGCAGACGCCTCTCTCCAGGCCCCCCTAGTCCCCAGTCCCCCCTAGTCCCCAGTCCCCTTCTGGGAACCCTCCCCCGGGCCGCCAGTCGCCTGTCCCTCACTCCCCACGGGTCCGGGACGCCTCCCGTCCCCGCGCCTCCCCACCTCCTCGCCCTCGCTCCACTCCCAGGAGGGAGCCCCAAGCCAACTTCCTCTGCCCTGCTTCCCCTCACCTCGCTTTTTCCCTTCCCAGAAAAGGAAATTGCCTCTTGGATTTTCCCGTCCTTCAGAGCTGTTACCAGCTTAAATTATTAGTTTTTTTTTTTTTTTCTTTAAATTCCCGGCGACTCCCTGTGTCACCATCATGGGAAATCTAGTCTTGGATTCCCTGTTAAACTCTATAAAGGTCCCGGGAAGCAAGTTAAAAAAAAAAAAAAAAAAAGATTCAGATGACACGAATATTTCCTCCCCGCCCCTGCACTCCTTAGTTGTACGATTGTTCCAGGCTCTGGGTTGATAAAGCTGTTCCTAGTATTTGGCTTTAGGGGAACTCCAGCGAGAGTTAGGACTATCTTGAATGTGAACAGAAAGCACCTAAAGTACTAGCAGCTTGAATGTATGGTGTTTGTTTCTCGGAGAGCAGATCTTAAAAAAAAAAAAAAAAAAAAAACCTTATAAAGAAATTCTGGTGGCCTTGTGAACTTGACTGCTGGCATTTTATCCATTCTCCTTTGATACCAGAGAAGGTAGGGGGCTTTTCTAATTTTGAGATTAGAAAAATCGAATCTCAAATGGTTTAAGGACATTGTGGCCTTGTGACTCAAGGAAAGAATGTTTCAGGCATTGGTTGCCCATGTGATGATTACAAGGATCACATCGGACTTTCAACCTGACAGCAGAGTATTTGGTAAATTTCTGGCAACTTGGACTGTGAATGAAATTGTCCAAATCCTTGCCTCTTGGAAAATAGTGTCCAAGAGGAGAAATGCAAGCTGAATTGGGATTAAAAATTTAAAAGCAATTGTTTTTGTATCATACTTTGGTCATTGCAGCACATTTCAACTCTGTATTTTAGAAATAAATTTTAAGGAGTTGGTAAATATTTCCTGTGTCTAAAGTTAGGAACAAATTGAAGGTAATTTGTTAGCATTTTCTTTTACGTGGTTTTTACTTTATGAGTACATAGCCATGTATGAATTTCATTTGACTTGTAATTGACTCATTCAGGACATAACTTGTTGATTTATGTAGGTTCACACATTTCTCTCATTAGCATCTGTTCATCTCAGAGGAACAAGTTTTGGTGGATCACCCTGTCCCTTTACCCCAAAACATTTAATAGTATTCTTTTTAGATTGTATATGCCCAAATACTAATAGGTGAATTTAAACCATGATTTATGAAAAGGGTAATTTCAATATGTATTCATATTGCAGTTGAAATAAGTTGGCACAGGTTAACATTCCACAGCATTAAATTAAGCAGTACTTAACCAAACTAGATTCCCAACTACAAAAAGAGAAGCAGTCAGGAAGCTCTTATCATACAAGTTAAGGAACATTTGAAACTTTGTTTCATCCCCCTCTAATCATTTACATAAAAAACACATAAATAAGTAGAAAAGGAGCTGTAAAATACTTATTTTACAAAGGCATGTTAATTCATGCTTATGTTAGCGTATCTCAAGCCTGTTTTCATAATAGCTCAAAAAGTGGATCCTTGTGGTACAGAATGAGATTTAAAAGAATCTTGATGGAGTGTGATATTTTCTGTATATATGCCATATTATCTTCATTTCTACTGCAGACTCAAGTCACTTTTAGTTCTCATAGTTTTAATTAAAAATAGCTATTCATTGTAATTAAATTAGAAAAGTGGTTTTCATTTAGGTCATTGCAAAATGTAAAAACTAAAGGAAAAAATATTTTAACTTTCCAAAGAGGAAATAAACATAAAAATATCAAAAGGCACTGAAAATACCATTTTTAGCTTAATTTTTACTTTGCAGTATAGTTACATGAGACTATATACCGTAGATTAAGCTGGCAACTATTGGCAAAAGCTTATTTGTAAGATATAAAGCTTTTAAATCTGTTGCTTATTAAAACATGGAACATAATGTGAAAGTAATTGGGTGTCATCCAGAGTTTTTAAGAATGTRCACTTTAATGTCTGCATTTCCACAGTGGCATTCCTTTTAAGGAATTGTGACTGATTAGACAGGTTTGCATTAGCTATAAAAGGAATGCATTAGCTATAAAATATAAAAGGTCTCTTCAAATCTAATGATCTTTGAGTCTTTTAAATTGGATAAGAAGAAGGTAGTATATAGACTTATCAATAAACTGAATTTTACTGATATACAAATGCTAATTCACAATGAGAGGGCTAGGGAAGAACAGAGTTACTTTAGGTAGAGGGGAGTGAAGGGAGGGAGGGGTTATGGGGGTAGAAAAGATAGTAGAATGAATCAGCCATTATTACTCTATGTGCATATATAAAACTATATGACTGGTGGGATTCTACATGATGTATAACCARTAGAATGAGAAATTATATTCCATTATATATGATGTATCAAGGTGCCTTCTACTGTCAAGTATAACTAATTAAAACAAATTTAAAAATAAACTGAATTTTAAATTGGACATTGAGAAGAAAGAAAGACTAAATTCAGTCTTGTTTACTGTTGTTCTGGCTAGCACTTTGCTATGTGCTCTATGGCTAAACAACAAATATTTAATTTCTAAAAGGTGATTTTACTAAAAAGGTAGTTAGTTAGATATAAAAGATATCTGCTATTGTCAAAGATATAGAAAATGGGCTCTCATATATACTTTGTAAGAATGAAAAATTAGAGAATCTTCAATATCTTTCAGATAACCAACATTACCAATCAGAAAACTTCAAAAGTTAAATACCGTTTGACCCAATTTCTAGGAAACTTACCTAAGAAAGTAATTAGACACAATAGATATATGAGAAGGGAAATAACAAAGATATACTCCTAGAGTGGCATAACTGTCATTTGTCCTCAAATCCTAATGGGCACAAAGGCGGCCTTAGACTCCATCTTAGGACTCATACATGATTAGTTCTGCCTTTTGCCAGCATCTTGCAGTCCTACCTTTCTTTCACTCTGTGAGCCTTCTCTAGGAGTACACATTAGAAATAATAAGGCTTTGAGAACTCTTTTTAATTTTTCAAAAAATATTTCAAAAGTAAGTAAAACAAAATGCTAAGTTTCTTCGATAGTTCTTTGAAACTATCAACTCAGCGTAATAATGCTGGAGAGCTTGTGTGTGATAGTTATGGTCAATACCTCAGTTCAGTGTAATTAAAGAAAAGGGCAATAAATCTTAAATGCTATTTCATTGACAGATTTGTCAAAACGCAGATAAACATGGTGTAGTGCGAAGTGCACAGTTTCCAGGGTCAGGTAGGCTTGGGGTATGGTCCAACTCTGTTACTTGCTAATTTGGTAATGTTGGGCAAATTACTTAACCTTTTAAAGCCTCATAGTTTCCGCCTTGATAAGTGGAGGCAATAAAATACTTCATAAAACCGTATGCAATAATTACACATGCATTTCTAGGCACAGTTCTAAGTGGTTTACACATAACACATTTAATCTTAGCAATAACTTTCAGGTGGTTCCTATTGTTAATTCTATTTTACAAATGAGGAAATTGAAGCATGGAAAAGTTATATAACTTGCCCAAGTTGTACACTAAGTGATTGGAAGAAAAGAGTTCCTCTTCAGCCAGAATTGTGCCTTATCCTTTGTAGGTTCTCATCATATGGTACTTGAAATCTTAGCGGCAAATAAGGTGTTGGTACTGGTAAAAAGATTGAGGACTAGTGTCATAACTCTGTAGCAAAATGACAGGCACAATTTTTGTATAAAAATGAGATATTCGTGGGGATATTTGTCTACTATGTTGACTAGAGCTTGCATTCTGCTTCTAGAGCTTATCTGGCATATATTACCCTCAAGGGTAACTACCTAAAATAGACCTGGTTACATGAGCTGTGAATTACTTTTAGACATTAGCTTCTTATGTAAGTACCATAGCAGTTTAAAACTTGAAAGCTGCTCATGAAAGTGGTAAGTTTTCCATTGGCAAAGAAACCTCACTTGTTTTTCCAGTCAGTTATAATGAAGCATAGTCACTTGATCTGACTGAAGGTAAGAGGACATAAAGACATACTTTTTTTAAAAATTCCATTCTTTCTACATAGTAGAAAACCCCTCACTCGAGCATTTGGAAATAGAATTTTAAAGTTTCATAGAATTTTGGATTTAGAAGAAGAAATCCAGATCCAAACATTTAAATAAGTTTAAACGTGCCCTAAATTACACATCCAGTAGTGGTGCGTGATCAGTTGATCCTTGTATACTGCTGTTCAATCACTGTCCTGCTAACCACACTATTCTCTTCAATTTAGGATACTTGAAGGAACTTCAACATGATTAAGGCCTTCAACAGATGCTTAATGAACACCTATTAATATGAATTGGCTTGTGCTAATGAAAATTAAACATCTTAGTCACAGGAAATAGACATGTGCTGATAATATGATATAGGGGTCTTACAATTGAAGTGATTTTCTTTTTTTAACCTGATATTTTCATTTAACTATGTTGTGAACTCTTTAAAGGACCCAGGCTTTGTGTACTACAAGTGCTTTACACAGATGATGATATATATTTTTTGAAGGAGAGAATCCGATAACTTAGAAATAGTAGTCATGAAGCAAAGCTCAAAGCACCTTAGGAGTTATTTTGTAAATAACATTAACATAGCTGATGTATATGAACTTGCATAGAGAAGCTATGAGATGTGTGTGTATGCATGTTAAGGCATTTTTTTCCTTGCTATTTTTGCAGGACAATTAATAAGTTACTATGAGTCTGTTAAATTGTGAAAACAGCTGTGGATCCAGCCAGTCTGAAAGTAACTGTTGTGCTGCCATGGCCAACTCCTGTAGCACTGCAATCAAAGATGACAGTGTRAGTGGAAGTGCCAGCACAGGAAATCTCTCCAGCTCCTTTATGGAAGAGATCCAGGGATATGACGTAGAGTTTGACCCACCTCTGGAAAGCAAGTATGAATGCCCTATCTGCCTGATGGCCTTACGGGAAGCAGTGCAAACACCATGTGGCCATAGGTTCTGCAAAGCCTGCATCATCAAATCCATAAGGTATGTGAACATAAGAAAGAATGGTACCCTATATCAGAACCAAATGCAAAGAACAGTATTACATAGAACACAGGCCATCCCAAGAATCTTCTTACACATAAAAAGCWACTTAGGAAAAAAAAAAAAAGCAATGAACAGAAAATTGAGAGATTCGTATCCCACCTCCTACAGTGATGCAAAAAGTTAATTTCTGTTTCTTCCATTCCCCTGACCTTCAGATAAATAAGAAAGTAAATAGCTTAAAACTATTCTAATGTAGACTAGGGGATGACTGGATGCTTTTAAGATGTACTCAAATTATGCTTAAGTATGATAATCTAAACCATATAAAGAATGCTGATTCTGTAAGTGATTGTTTATTCTGGTTTTAGCCATGTTAAATTTTTGTTTACCTGATTTCTCTCAGCAACTGTGAAGTAGCCAGTATTTTTTTTTTAAGAGAGAGAATTTTTTAATATTTATTTTTTAGTTTTCGGTGGACACAACATCTTTATTTTATTTTTTTATATGGTGCTGAAGATTGAACCCAGCACCCCATGTATGCCAGGCGAGCGCACTACTGCTTGAGCCACATCCCCAGCCCCTAACCAGTATTTTTAAAGCAAGTATTAATGAAGGTTATGCCTTCATAATATGTCCATAATCTAATCCCTTCTTACTGCCTCACTGACACTACCTTTCTGAATCATCATCAGCTTTAACAGGTCTTCCTGCTTCTACTCTTGTCTTTTCCCTGTCTCATTATAGCACCCATAATGAACCTGGTAAAATAAGTTAGATGTCACCTCTGCTCAGAACATTGCAGCAGATACAAGGATAAAAGCCAAAGTCCTTAGAAGACCATGTATGATAGGCCCATGATTCATTTTCTTTCTCCTCTTTACTGTGCTCACTTTCCTTCCATTTATTCCTCCTTTGCCGTTCATTGAACATGTCAAGCATGCTCCTTCCTTAGTGAGTTGCTTTAGCTGTTCTCTTTGCTTAGAACTTTCTTGCTATGGCTAACTCTTTAACTCTGTCCACTTGCCTGAAATACCATTCTCTCATAGGTTTGCTGGACACACTGTTTATACCACATCATGCCTCTACCTACTTGTCTCCAACAATCCTGGTCTTCCTTCTTGGCCATACTTCTCATTTTTTTTTACCTAAGCACTTTTACCTTCTAAGACACCAGATAATTTAAGCATTTGTTATCTGCTTGCCCAATTGAAGGTAACCTCCTTGAGAGTAAAAGTTGACAGGTAAATGAGAATATCTTTAAGGATTTTAATGCAGGACAAAAAAGGTGGAAGAGGAGATTGGTGTTCTTCAATAGATAGCCATCTAGTTATATTGGTGAAATCATTCCTAAGTAGATTAGTCCATCTCTGGCTATTAGACTCATAAATTTTTATTTCTCAACTTCTATACCAGCTTTTCTATAAAATTTGAAATTAAGGTAACTATATCCATTCTCAGTACTTAGCTTAATTTAAGTTACATGGGAGTGTGTCTCTTTTCTCAATTTTGGAGGGTGGTGTGTTGTCCAGTGTTGAATTTATAAAATCTATTTAGAGTAGGTTTTCTCAGTCTTGACACTGTTGACATTTTGGGCCAGACAATTTTTGCTGTGGAAGAAGGTCCTGTTTGATGTGGGATATTTAGCTGTATGCCTGATCTGTATCCACTGGATACTAGTGTCCCCTCTTATCCAGCTGTGAGATGCACTGTCTCTTGTGGGCAAAATAGCCCCTGGTTGAGACCACTGGCTTAGGGTATATAGGATAACAGCTTTAAAAAGGCCCAACCAGGGGCTGGGGCTAGGGCCCAATGGTAGCGCACTTTCCTGGCATGTGTGAGGCACTGGGTTCAATTCTCAGTACCACATACAAATAAATAAATAAATAAATAAATAAATAAATAAATAAATATAAAGATCTTTCAACCATTTAAAAAAAAAACTCAACTATTATTCTGTTTATTAAGATTTTTAAATTTATACTGTATTTAGATAAAAATGTTACCATATTTTGAATTGTTGATTTTCCTGTAGGTAGAAATGTGCGGTATTTTATCAGGTGCAACCCATGCCCAAGAAGGTAGCTAATCTTTAGCAGATTTTTAATAGCAGAATATTTATGAAAGTAGTGAGACAGTGGTCTAAAAGAAGGTAAAACCCACAAAAGGAAATGTGAGGTTTTCTCCTCCCCTATTTCCCTCTAAGCTAGAAGTGACCACTTGGCCCCAATATTCTTAAAGGAACTGCTCTGAAATTCCTCATGGGGTATAGTCATTGAAGGAATCATAATGCATTTCTGTCTAATTTCATTTTCTTTTGGAATCCTTGCTAATATAGTGGATAAAGGTTTTCAATTTATTTTGTAAGGTTCATCTTAATTTTTTATTAATAAGTTGCTTTAGGTTTGACGCATGTGTTTCAGTAAATTTATTCGTGGCCTCTTATGCTCTCAGAGTATATTCAATGGTACAATAATAACATTGTAAAATCCAAGAGAGGCTCCAAAAATTCAGCTGTCTTTCACCTTTATTCAACAGAACTTTTCTCCTCGCACAGCAGCTAGCACTGTTGAGCATATAAGAGGAATTCACCAAATGTTTGAGTGATTGATAAGGCTTCTGTGGCCTACTTGACCCATCACATTTTGTGACTGAGGATTGAGATATTCCAAAAAGTTAAAGGGGAATGACACTTAAGCTGGAAACAAAACACAAAAACATTGGGAAACAGGATATAGAGGTTCTTTAACTCTCTACTGCACTGTACCATGTATGTACAAATAAAGGAAATCTTTTGTTCCCTTCAGCTCAAATGTCATAGTGACTGATTTGGATTAAACCTTAAAGTGAGGCTTCATGAGGATATTGCTAATTGGTTATATTTTTGCTTATGACTTGCCGTAGCCCAGCTGGCTGGGCAAAATAACTAGGGGGTGACGAACAACTTGTGTAGATTGAAACAGCAGGAGTGGGAGCCATTTGTTGTAGGACAACAGAGGTATTTATACATTCCACACAGCTTATCTTAATTTASRTAAACTAGATACAGCAGTCAACCAATAAGGAATCTCCACATTTAATGGCTCGCTGGCACCACCTCACAAACCACGCCCCCTGGCAAAATGGCAGGCGCCATCCTGACTTGTTTACAGAYTCTAACAATGACTTGAGCAGTATACTGAAGACATGTTTTAAGTATTGTGAGCAGCATATTCTATTTTACAAGTATACTGTATAGGTGCTGACAGAACAGAGGCCAGCCAAACTGTCAAAATTTGCATTCTTAACTTGACTTCATTTTATGCCAATAAAATATTTTTATTCAATTAATTATTCTGATTATTATTTGTCCCACAGTCTACCTGTACTTTGGAAGCTAGTTTGGTTTTTGATTACCTATCAATAGCTAGTTTGTCAATGGTAGAGTGCTTGCTTAGCATGTACAAGGCCCTGGATTTGATCTCTAGTACTGCAAAATAATAATACTTATTTTATAAAATAATAGTTAATAAGCTGTCCATAAGAGAACTTTTCAAATCCAGGCATGAGAGTTTATGCCTGTAATCCCAGCTGCGTGGAAGCCTGAGACAGAAAAATCAGAAGTTCAAGGTCAGCCTGGGCAATTTAGTGAGACCCTCTCTCTAGGTAAAGGAGTCTGAGGATATAGCTCAGTGGTAGAGTGCTTGCCTAACATTCATGAAGCCCTAGGTTCAATCCTCCAGTATAGCCAAAAGTGAATTAAAGGAATTAAAGTTAGTTTTTGTAATGTGAATGTTTAAATCTACTAGTTGTGTCTTTTCTTTTAGGGATGCAGGTCACAAATGTCCAGTTGACAATGAAATACTGCTGGAAAATCAACTCTTTCCTGACAATTTTGCAAAACGAGAGATTCTTTCTCTTACGGTAAAGTGTCCAAATGAAGGTTGTTTGCACAAAATGGAACTGAGGCATCTCGAGGTATTAAACTTATTTTCCAGCTGTTAGGATGTATGCAAGTCAGTTTCTAGAGTAGGAACTTTGTTGTGTTTATCTGTATTGCCAGTACCTACCATATAATAATTGGTTAAATTCTTGCCAAGTTCTTACTAATCCTTTGAAGCAGAAACCAGAAATTTTTTATTCTGTCTACTCTGGCTTTGCCCTGTAATTTAAAAAAAAAAAAAAAAAAAAAAACTTCAAGTTTTTTGGTTAAATTTTGCACCAAATGAAATGCTTCTATAGTTTCAGATTAACTGAAGCAATCATATAATAAAAGAATTTACTTTTAAATACAAATAAATCAATTATTTTTAAATTGGTTCAATTTAGTTACACATAATATTTTTTTAATATTTATTTTTTATTTATAGGTGGACTCAGTATCTTTTTATTTTATTTTTATGTGGTGCTGAGGAACGAACCTGGTTCCTTCCGCATGGTAGATGAGCGCTCTACCTCTGAGCCACAACCCTAGCCCTACACATAATATTAGGATCCATTTTGACATAATTATACAAGCATGGAATATAATTTGCTCTAATTCAGTACTTCCCCTTTTTCTTCCCTCTTTCTGTTTCTTACCTCTGCTTTACTGATCTTTCTCATATAAAATAAATTCTTAGCTTGCAGATTTTTATCAAAAATTATTTTTAATGTTCTGTTTGAAGTTAAATGTTTAAAACAGATTTGCATCCTGCCCCCTTTTACTTAGCACTTTTTGAAGGAGTAGCCCTTTTAAAAGTACTAAATTGCTAATCTAGAAATCCTCTTTTCCCTAATTGAATGTATGAACTTGAGAATTCATATTCCCTTTATAAACATGCAGCCCACAACCATCATTTGAAAAAAACTCATTAAGTCCTTCATATTGTGAATGTTTCTGTGGTTTATGTTAGATTATATAGGTTCAGTAGCCAGCTATATAAAAGAGAATGGTATATTCTTAGAAGAAATTATCTTTAAAAAATTTCTTCAAGAATAGCAAATACTAATCAATTTTTTTTTCTAAATTACAGGATCATCAAGCACATTGTGAGTTTGCTCTTATGAATTGTCCACAGTGCCAGCGTGCCTTCCAAAARTGCCAATTTAATATTCACATCCTTAAGGATTGTCCGAGGAGACAGGTTTCTTGTGTAAACTGTGCTGTATCCATGGCATTTGAAGACAAAGAGGCATGTACTAATTTGGATTTGTTAATTCCACTACTTCTTTTTTTCTTTTTTTGTTTTGTTTTGTTTTTAATAGCCAAAACCAGATTACCCATTTATTTGACCAAGAGCATTAAAAAGGACCACAAAATTAAACAATCTTTAATTAATTAAATTCTTATAGAAAACTCAGTCACAGAGCAAGTACTTAGTTGTCTTCCCCCTGTTTTTGAGGATTGAGAACTCCCAATATTCTTTGGAGAATAAACAATAATTTTGTTGAATGTTGCCAATAGTCAGAGCATCCATTTACACAAACCGGTAGTTCCTATTGCACATATTAACTCCACTACTTCTTAAAACAATTTTTTAAATGTATGTCTGAGGGAGGTAGCAGTAGACTAGGATACGATTACAACTCAGTCTATTCTATCAATTTTTAGAAAATTGATTTTTAAGGAAGAAATGAAAGTTAGATAAATCATTATTAATATGTATGGAGTTTGTATTTACATGTCTTTCTTAGAAAATATTATTTATGCTAGTTACTACTATTGTAGATCTGCAAGTGACAAGTCACTAGAAAAGGCTTATGCTACTTGACTGTTCATTTTCATGTATTTTGATGACCATTCTGATTATAGACAAACAAGTAGAATGGCTACTATATAAGACTATATAAATTATTTTACAAAAGAAAAAGAAGTTATTCTATAACTATTATGAAGAATAAATTAAATTTCACAAGTGTGTTCCATAGCTGATAACCCAGTGTGCTATTATATTCACTTTCAGTATGTGTGTTATTTCAATTAAAAAGTTCACTTTTAAAAAGAAATTTCACTGTGCCTGACAACATCATGATAACAGGGCAGTTTTTTTTTCTTTTAGAAACTAGATTAAATAGTTTTATATTATGTTGTCAATATCAAAATCAACACTGAAATCCTAATTCTTGATCCCTATCCTTCATATTATTGAAATAACCTACTTATAACTTTTATGTTCTTTTATAACTAATACTTAGTTCTTTAAACTTCAGTTCTTATAAATTTGTGTTATAATTTTTCTTACTTCCCTTAGCAGATCAAATATATTATAGTTAGTTGAAATATTCCAAAAAAAGTCAGCTAATTTGCTAAAAATGTAGAAGTCTCAGTCATATTTTGAGCAAATTGACATTTCCTTCCAAAACCTGAGTAAATTAGATGAAGTTAACCTGAAAGTTTTAATTATTCTTCAACACATCACCTAAATTAAAATCATTGTATTCTAGAAAACAAGGCTCACCCTTCTGAGGTACTAGAGCCTTATGCCCTGATAATGCATTTGTTCTTTAACGGCACTGACAAGAATTTTAATTAAATGGTCATGCTGCTGCTGAAATTTTGAAAGATTGCCTTTTATAGCATTGGTAGATGATATCCAACTAGTTATAGATAAGTCTGCCTTGGGTTAAAAGGAAGTACTACCATATTCTTTGAAAGAGCTGGAATGATGAATGAATCTCATTATACTAGTAAAAGGAGATAAGTATCCTTTATGTATGTTTTGCACATTTTTGCTTTATACAAATTAATGTCCTTAATTTGTGCATAGTGAAAAAATCACTTTTTACAAAAATTTTTTCAAATTTTCTCATGCTTTTCTTGTATTTCTCTGATAACATTCAGATACATGACCAGAACTGTCCTTTGGCAAATGTCATCTGTGAATACTGCAATACCGTGCTCATCAGAGAACAGGTATAATAATTCTATTTCATAAACTAGTATTTCCATAATAGCTTAAAGAAGTGTTATTTTTTTAATTGATAACTTAAATCAGGCAAAATCAATATGTATTGTAGAAGTGTTAGAATTGCGCAGAAATTTTTCATTTTTCACATGAATTAATGTAATTGGGCCAGGGGGTTGTGCTTAGTGACAGAGTGCTTGTCTAGCATGCAAGTTGATGGATTCAATCCCTAGCACCACCCCCAAATTAATAATCACTTCCAAAAGAGTAAAACATTCAGTACTTCTAAAGTGCTAAAAATTCCTAGGTTGTTAACATAATAGCAAGGGTCCACATTTAAAGAAGGAAATGCATATATACACACTGAAATGAGGATCATAGTTATCCAGGGACTGGCTGAAAGAATAAATGAGAATAATGAAACAAAAGAAAGCAAATCCTGTTTGGTAGCAGAACATTATTCATAGCCCCTGAAGCATATAGGAAGATTTTTAAATTTTCAGAATTTATGGCCCCTCTGTTCAGTTGTTCATGAGGCCACTAATGGAGTATCATCAGATTTAGCAGTTATAATAGAAAAATATATTTTGATTATTAATAAAGAAAATTCCATCTGATTGCTATCTTCTGGCATTCGGAGAGTTTACCCACAAAATATTAATATTAGTCACTAAACATATTTGCCCATGAAATCTGCGTACCCAGAGATCATTATTGATTAACTTACAAAGTAGAAGCAGGCAAGACCTTGATTAAATTTTTCCATTTGTCTGTTAATTGAGTCCCTTAGTTTCTTTTTAACAAAACTAGTTCAAAGGTGTTAAACTTCTTTTTGCTTTTGAAGTCCCACCTCCCTGGTTTTCCTCTTTGCTCTCTTTTAATATTGAAAGAAACCATGTAGCACATTTAAAACTCAGCAAAAATAAAATTAAATGTAAGAAAATATTCTATAGTAGGAAGCATCAGAAAACCTGGGATTTGATCCTGGCTGTGTTATTAATTAGCCCTTTTATCTAAACTATAGCAAAACTAAAATTTCTAAAGAAAATTTGACACTACTTTTAAAAATATTATTCTATAATGGATCTTGTTCTAAAGAATGTGTCTTTTGAGTCCCCAAATTTAAGACTTTCTTTTAGAGCTTTTAACAGTGTGCTTTTACTTTCTAACATCTGAGTCCTTCAGTGTAGCTAGGATATGCCCAGGTTAACAAAATGTAAGAAATGTGTGAAAGGTGATCATGAGGGAATTAACGGGTCTGGTCAGTGACTTTAATGTGTGCAGTTCTTTGGTCCTTAGTATGGCCTAGACCACATACAGTCTTGGTTGAGTTTGCAGTTGTAGTTGTCAGAAGGTGTTTTTTTCTTGGAAGTGCCACTAGAGGGTGCCAGTTCCCAACAATAGGAATAAAATGCCTTTTATGAAGTGAATTTTAGTGAATTTGTAGGGTGTGTTGTATTATGAGATGTTGATATCTTATTTCTCTCTGACTTTTTGAAGTATTTTTGTTTTAATCTTTGTGGGCTACAGGGTTCTGTAACATTTTAACTCTTCCATTATGACCCAAAGGCAATACATAGTTTTGTTTAGGTGAAACAAATTTCTTTTTAAATGTAATCTCATTCAGCTAGAACATCCTCTGCAGGGAAAAACAGTTTTCAGCCTTTGTTTTGATTTTCAGATGCCTAATCATTATGATCTAGACTGTCCAACGGCCCCAATCCCATGTTCTTTCAGTACTTTCGGTTGCCATGAAAAGGTAAGTTTTCTTTTTCCTTTGAATTCTTAAATATAAATCAGAAATATTCAGTTATATAGTCTAGTGGACAGTCTCAACAGGAATGTACATGTTTATAAAACAGCATGATAAATTATATAATAAAGCTAAGTACTGATGCTGTGAACAGAAGCAAAAGTACACTTACAATGCTTAAAGCATTTAGACAGACATGAAAAAAAACGTGATGTTTGGGCTAAATCTTGACAGAATAAAAAAAAAATTTGTTCAAGAAGACAAGAGAAACAAAAGTGAGTGTAGTGAACAGTACTAGAAATAGGTGAACCAGACAAGAAGAAAGTATTGTTATGGTCTCCCAGATTAACTTTGAGACTCCTGATCAGGAATATTGGATTTCTAACATAAATCCCAGTTTATGAAAAGCCATTCTTTGGAGAGTGCAATTATACTTTGGCTTTTCTGTATGTTTATTTATTTATTTATTTATTTATTTATAATAAACATACATTTAATAATTGAAAAGATAAAGTAAAATGGTATTTGGTATGATTATATTTTATGGAAAAGTTCTGTATTCATGTACATGAAGAAAATGACTTGAAAATACATCAAAATATTAACTTAGGGAGTTATATGTAACATTTTCTTTCTAATCTATATTTTCTATGGTATACACAGTTTCTCTTATAATAACAATTTTTGTATCATAAATGTTTTTCATACAACAGGATGTTTTTAATGATCTTAGAATAGTATGGAGACAGCAAAGATTCCAGTTGGCAGTAGATTCRGATTACAAATAAGGAATTGGGGACATTACAGTAGACTGCCATGATTAAATTTTAAAGGAAAGAGGAGAAAATGCTGTGAACTAGAAGAAGACATAAAATCAATATCGAGGTTCATCTAGTTTTCCTAATGGGAAAGATTTTAATAAATATATTCTGAGGGAAGGGGTTAGAGGAAGAGAACATTTGGAGATAAAGGAGAAAGGGGATGACTTAGTAAAACCTCTGAGGTGTTAAAAAGGGCTGGGTGTCTTAGAGCACAGGTGGAACATTCATCTTGGATAAGAGGAAAGTCATCTCTTGAGTCAGTAGAGGAGGGTAGGTATGGATACTGACATTTTTGTAGTTGGGATGAAGATTTAGCCAAGTGTGTTCATAGGTAGTCTCAGTTTTTTAGTGCACTCAGAGCAGTGTTCATCTCATTAAGAATCTGATGAAGGCAAAGGATCCTCTACTTCCCTCTACAACTTTGTAGAGGATGCAGGGAAATATTGACACTATGTAAAAGCCTCTTATTTGTCTTGGCCAGGTCCTTTCCTAGTCTTTAACAGTGTCTGTTCCCACCTAAGGCTTGTGTTTGGTTTTTAGATGCAAAGGAATCACTTGGCTCGCCACCTTCAAGAAAATACCCAGTTACACATGAGAATGTTGGCCCAGGCTGTTCATAGTTTAAATCTTGCTTTCGATGCTGCCTCTCCATCCCAGATGCCTTCTGGGTATCGCCCAGAAATTGAAAATTTCCAGGAAATCATTCAACAGTTAGAGGGTCGCCTTGTAAGACAGGACCATCAAATCYGGGAGCTGACTGCTAAAATGGAAACTCAGAGTATGTATGTAAGCGATCTCAAACGGACTATTAGAACCCTTGAAGACAAAGTTGCTGAAATTGAAGCACAACAGTGCAATGGGATTTATATTTGGAAGATTGGTAACTTTGGGATGCACTTGAAATCGCAAGAAGAGGAGAAACCTGTGGTCATTCATAGTCCTGGATTCTACACAGGCAAACCTGGATATAAATTGTGTATGCGCCTGCATCTTCAATTACCAACTGCTCAGCGGTGTGCAAACTACATCTCACTCTTTGTCCACACAATGCAAGGAGAGTATGATAGCCACCTGCCTTGGCCCTTCCAAGGTACAATACGCCTTACGATTCTGGATCAGTCTGAAGCACCTATAAGGCAAAACCATGAAGAAATAATGGATGCCAAACCAGAGCTGCTTGCCTTCCAGCGGCCCACAATCGCCAGGAACCCGAAAGGTTTTGGCTATGTAACTTTTATGCACCTGGAAGCCCTAAGACAGAGAACCTTCATTAAGGATGATACGTTATTAGTGCGTTGTGAAGTCTCTACCCGCTTTGACATGGGTGGRCTTCGGAAGGAGGGTTTTCAGCCACGAAGTACAGATGCAGGGGTGTAGCATCCCCCTCATTTGTTTAAAACAACAAACTGTATGGAAAAAACAGTGCCTTCCCTTGCCTTGTTCTCAATAATATGCAAACAAAAACACAGCAGGAAAGATGTAATACCCACCAGTGAATGTTGTTAGAGAGGTTGCTTCTCACTTTTTCCTGTTACAAATATCTGAGGCAGTTTTTTTTTAAGGGATCTACACCTTCCATGCTTTTTCAGAAATATTATATCTAAAGTGCCTGTGGCATGCAACAGCTGTTTTGTCAATGAGTATACCTCTTTGTTGTACTTTCATGGGCATTTACTCCAGGGTCTTATTGTCACCAAGCCCAGAGTTGAGTGTGGAAGCTCAAACCTTTTAATAATAATGAACTTTACTTTAAAACTCCAGCTTATTTTTATATTATTGTATATAATATATTAAATGTGAGAATCACTACTACCTTGTGCTAGTGCCAGTATGAAGAGTTGTTGCACTAGAGTGAAGTTCTCATTCTCATTTCAGAGGATTTGAAGCATAATCCCTGGAAAGCTTAAGTTCTCATGTTAACTAAGGATATTCAGGGACTAGTTTAACCCTGAATATAACCTTACTTTTTTAGTATAAACATGTCATCTGTTGAATAAAACCTGTTGAAGTATTTAATTCTGCATTGCTTATATATTTCCTATGACCACAAAGTGGCAACTTCTCCAGAGTTTATGCTGAGAACCATATGGATACCAACTGCTCAGCATTAAGCTGTGTACCTCTTTTAGTCTGTTTAGTGCAGAGTGAATGCAAAGCCCTACACATGGCTTCTGTGGTTTATATACACAAAATCCCAGCATAAGTAAAAGTGATTCAATTAGTCAACCATTATGACAGTTCAGATTGGTGGTGATAGAAGCTATATGAGCCAGAAATTTTCAGCCCTTTTCAGTACCCTCTGGTTTAAGTTTAATTAAATGGAATGAAATTAACTTCCTACMAAAAAAGCAACATTTTTTTAAACGAGATCATAGGAAGTATGTGAATGGTCACTAAACCAAGGTTGGAAGTCATAATGGTAATATCACAAATTAACTTAAGTCCAACAGCCCACTGCAGGTTCTGAGGGGGCATCCTATGGTATGTATTGAAGTGACTAATAGGGAGAGGTGATGTTTATACTAATTATATATTTGTTATAAAATTATACGTATAAGAAGTGGAATCTAGTTCTCAGGGAACCCTAAAACTAGTATGAGTGCTTATAAAGAATCTAAGAAGATTCATCCACTCTTGTTTTATACAAGATTAAAGTTTCTGGTAAAGAGAGATGGTATTGGTCTCTAATAGGTCAGATCAGAGGCCCCCCCAGCCGGCATTCAAGATCTGCCTTAATTTCAAGAGGAAGCAGAATGCTTGTCTGTGGAGAGGAGTCTGGTTTTCAGTTCACAGAAAACCAGCAAGTGTCACTATGATCTTTCCCTTTGTTTTTATCAACCCTCTCTCCCCGCTCCACCCCATCTTTGAGCTTTTGCTCTGTGGAGTTTGTTATAGAGTGAAAATAAAGGTCAAGTAGAGACCTTGTTCTGTATGATGTGAGTACCACAAGCTCATAGCTAGTGACCAGTTTATTGCCTAAGTGGTTTGTATCTCTTTCCAACCAGTTTCTGAGAATATTTGTAGCACCACCTCTAGGTTGAAAAACAAGTGCTACTGGTGTTCCTGTGATTGTTTTTCAGTGAATAAATAATTATCAAGTTCCATTTTAAAAGTAAGCAGCAATCATTTTTTGTATTTGCTTAAAAAAAACCTGAAAGAAGTAAACATTTTTGATGGCTTATTTTCTTTTTGCATTCTTAGATTTTTTTTTTTACATTTTCTAAATGAATGTACTTTTATCAGAGAAGAAAATTAAGTTGCCACAAAGCATCACCCCCCCCACCCCGCCGCTTTTAAAAAAGGAAATGATATTTAAAAGCTTCCTGGTCAAATTTCTATTAAAGGCAAGTCTGTGCATTAAATACTAAGAAGAGTCATTTCCTGCTTGGTTATGGGGTTTGTTTTTTTTTTTTTCTATTCTAACTCAGAAGTCTTAAAAACAGTTTTTTGCTAACTTAAACTTTTCTTAGCTTCAAGTTTCCCATCTATAAAATTAATTGAACTAGATGCTTCTAAGGTCGTCTCCCCAATCATAAAATTCTGTCTTTAAGAAATTAAGTTCTAAACAACAGAATATTGATAATACTTAAGTAAGGATTATACCAGTAGAAAATTGCTTTAATTTTTTTCTTTGCTGAGATTAATATTGTATTTCAATTTAGTGTCTGCCAACTAAGTCATATCTTAATTAAAATGAACATTTTGGCATTTTATATCAAACCAGTTAACTTATGCTAGTAATTCATTGTAAACGCAGAGTAGAAATAATCATCAATTTGTCATTCAACTAGAAATCTCAAGTCTCAACTCAGAATCAAATCAATGACAGCTTTTACCTAAAAAACTGGGTTCGGGGGCTGGGGTTGTGGCTCAGTGGTACAGCATTTGCCTAGCATGTGTGAGGCACTGGGTTCAATTCGAAGCACCACATATGAATAAATAAAATAAAGGTCCATTGACAACTAAAATAATATTTTTAAAAACTGGGTTCATCTTTATAATTTATGAATCTCCTACCCCACTCAAACACTGGTTTCATCCAGTTGGTCTACAAGCATTTGGGCTGTGCATTTATATTTTTGTGAATTGTCTTTTAACATATTCATTTTTTGGCATTATTCTGGGTCATTGCTAATTTTTTTTTTTTAAAGTCATTTCCTCTTTGTTCAGAGATTTCCAGCCCAATGTTGGATGAAATTAGCTCCAAGTCAAACATTTTACTATTAGAAAATAAGTCTGGATGCTGACTGATAGTTTAGTAGTTTATTACTATCCTTTGGCTATTGTAGCAATGACAGCTTCTGGCTCTCCTACAATATGCTTCAACTTTTATTTGGGGGATGAATAATAGAAGAAAGTGAAATAGTAGTTTTTACCCGAATGTGTTGGACAAGTAGATATATATTGGATGATCTCTAGCAATTAATTTTTTGTGACTAGTATAATGCTATGTTTTCCATTACTGGTTTTTTACCAGTAAGTTTCAGGTAAACCAAAAACATTCCTATGAATTATGAGTGCAGTTAAAATTCTTAGAGCAGAGCAAATGCTTGCCATTCTTTTGTCCAAGGAGTTGACCAAAAAACGTTTTTAATTATTTGAGAGATTTTTCTAACCTAAGACTTTGAAGTACTTTTCTTTGATTTAGTTACTAATATAGCTCTTTACCTCAACTAAATTCTCCTAATTATACCATCAGGTATTTTTTGGATTTGAGTGTGTGTGTGTGTGTGTGTGTGTGTGTGTGTGTGTGTGTGTGCGCGCGCGCACACACCTAGTTCCCTAAAAGCCTTAAAGAAATGAAAAAAGGAACAACAAATACTCATTTCCTTTGAAATATTCTTTTTAAATTCCTAGGTTTAGATTCACATGATAAGCTACAGTTAGTTTCACAGTTGCTATCATGTCTGTAGAATGGGTTGGCATTTCCAGATTCCTAATATTCAGAAAGGTGATCATTTGAAACCAAACTGACTAGATGTCAACAGGTTCTAACACTCTTTTACAGCCTTCACTTTGAGTCAAGGACAGACACTTGCAAGGAGATGTCTAGTTTCACAAAATTTCACCTATTTATGTTTTAAAGCTTCACTTGCTGAAAATTCAGATTATTATAAAATAAAACTGAAAAATAATTCTTGATGGGGAAGATGTTGTGTGGAATGAGATGTGGTGCTCCTTTTCCCATCAAAATGCTTTCTCAGCAGGAYACTAGGCCTGCCTCTTAAGACAGGGAAGGAGGTCAGGCATGCTTCTCTGCTCTGGAGATTTGCAGCTCTGCAAGTAGTTCGTCCTCCCAGGAAAATCACCAAAGCAGCAGTAACCACAGTTCGCTGACCTGGTACCCAGAAGAAGGTAAAGTGTATATGTATGTATGTATGTATGTATGTGTGTGTGTGTGTGTATATATATATATATAGAGAGAGAGAGGGGGGGGGGGGAGGACATGGACACCGTTCTGGTCAGTGCTGAATCCCCTGTACTTAGCACAGTGCCTGGCACTTAACACACACTCAAATATGTAATAGCATTCAGTGAAAGCAAGGGTGGAAGATCAGATAACCAGTTTGGTAGCCTGTTTGTCATGAAAGCTGTAGATGATAAGGCACAGATGTTACTTTTTCAGTTTTTTCCTCCCAGTACTCGATTATGAAATTTTTTAAACATGCAGAAATGTTTAAAGCTTAGTGAACATCCACCACCTAGACTCTACAATGACATTTTGTTGCATTTGCTTTATCATTTAATAAACATTGCTTTTAATGAGACTTCAAGTTTGGTTTCTCTTAAAAATTCTTAGTCCTAAAATAATTGAACAACTTTAATCAAGTTAAATTCTTTGGGAAAACTTGTGATATGTGTGTTGTAACTGGAATTGTAGTCCTTACTTTAAGCTAATTTTATACTTCTGTATGACTATTATGCTGAATTTTAATCTTATTTATTTGGCCTGAAGGGGTATTTGTGCAGACTATTCTAATGTTCTTTTCACACATGATAAATTATCCAATTAATTTCTCTGGTGAGAACGTACTTTGGGGTCCATTTGCTTATACAAATTTCCAGGATTATGTTCCTGGGGAGCTGTAGGGGCTGTGTAATTTATCATATAAATCCTAATTTAGGAGCTAAGAGACACTTTCTCCTGACTGAGCATGGACAAATCAGTTTTCTTTGTTTTTATTATGGTTTATTTACCTATAAAGTGAGAACTTGAACTTGAAATTTAGGTATTATGGGTAAAATTTATTAATGTTGAAATCAATTTTAAAAGACACTTTATATGAGTACAGGAAAGCTTCTAACAATTCTGTAACTGTATAACAAACTACAAAATGAATCTGACTTTTGAAAAAATTGGAACATCCAGTGGTCAAAGTGTCTTATCTGAAAGCCTTCCATTGTTTAGAAATCATCTTCCCATGAAATATGTGAGTTTCCTAATCCATTTGGCCTTGGAAAACATGTGCTTTACAGGAGGGAGTGAATGTAAAGATGGGGATGGTGATAGTAATCACAGAAAAACTGAAATTCAGTGTTCAATTTAAGAATAGCTTGTTTTAAAGGAACAGAGGAAGAGAATTATCCAGATTCAGTGCAACACCCACCCCTGTACTGCCCCTAACTTTACCAGGAATGGCACCTGAAACCAGCCCTATTCCTGCCCACAGCTTTGCCTCAGATGTCTTCCTCAGGTCAGTATGGTTGAATTGGTAAGAGTGACCGGTTCCCTCCAAACCCATGTCATGAAGGTAGAGTCACATTTATCTCACAAAGGCACCTAGAGTTTTGATTTTAGATTGTGTCTTAGTATTTGCAAAGATATGATCTAACCAATGTTCCTGGAATGTCACCTTATTGAATATGAATTTAGAAGAAAACAAATACCTACTCCTTCCTCTCTGTTGTTATTCCCATACCAGCCTGTATATTGCACCAATACCTTTTTAAAATTTTTTTGATATTTTGATTTTTTATACCTTTATTTTATTTATTTATTTTTATGTGATGCTGAG